CTCGTCCTGAGCAGGTTGCATCGGAGCTGGATACCGCCCATGTGATCATGGTAGTGCAACGTATAAAGCCATCCCGAGTTCGCAACACAAAGTAGCACTGGTACCTGCTTGGCCGCTGTAGCCAGATCTCCAGAAGTGTAGTCATGCAGTCGAACGGAGAAACCAGACGGGGGATTTTTCTCTAGTCGTATAAACATGCCTATATGAGACAATCTACGTCATCGTCAGGTGTCGCTGAAAGTCGTGCTAAACCAAACTTTTAGTCTACGTGTATTGGCTTTTTAACACTGGAGCTGATAAGTCTGTAGACGGACACGAGGTCCGTAATACTGGCAAGAATGGGTTGGCACAATTGTTGATTGCAAGAGCACAAGGCTCACTTCTACACTCAGACAAGGAAAGCATGAATCGGAAGCAGGGTCAGAGCAACAAAAAGGTCGTCGAACAAGGTTTGAATGGAACAGGAGTTTGGACGTAATACACTATTAATAAGGATCCTGAGAACTCTTCGATAACCAACTAACGGTTTCGCCCTTCTTGAGGCACATTCAGTTGCTAATCAACATCATAAACGAGAGATTCAGCTGGGTTCCAGGTGAGTCATCTATCGAAACCAAACGGATATGCAGATGAGTGTAGTTGTCGAAATCTGTCCAATCTGAGTTCAAGTAGAACAGTAGTTTGACGAAAGCTCAACAACTTCGCCAAACTGATGAGCTTCAAGAAGGCCGAAACCGTTCGAGGTCTGTCAAAGAGTTTTCAGCAACGTCATGAGAAGTGCATCGCAACGTCTTGAATACCGCAATACCAGAAACATGGGGCGACCTGGTGCAGCGCACTCTACGACTTAGCAACATCATAAACGAGAGATTCAGTCAGGTTCCAGGTGAGTCTCCCGTCAAAATTTAATTAATATACAGATAAATGCACTTGTCGAAACAGGAGTTCACTATCCAGAGAAGCTGTAATCATAATGACAACGTAATACATACATGTATGTAATCAGTCCATGTCTCGTTCACCTGAGTTTTGGAGGCAAGCCAGTTTTCCAGAAACAGTTTTACATGACCTCATATGTATACGTTATTTCACAGGATAAAACTCAATTTCACTACTGTCGATCAAATCTGAAATGTACCTCAAGGAAAACCGCAGCTCTAACAGCCTTTTTTCCATCGATCACTAAGGAAACTAGATGAACTTGGGTTGTTCGGAACGATTACCCGGGTGGCTCGAAAAGAAATGTAAATGCTGTACGCACTTGCCTCAGGGTATAGGTCCCGTTGGTCTGATTTTTATCCAATTTCCGAAGCGAAATGTGACCGCTTTCAATTAGTCCGAGTAACAAACATTCCTCAAGTGAACAATGATATGAAATAACTTTAGCACATCAGGGTAAATTTCGAAGCTCATTGGTCTATCCCAAAAGCGTGGCTAGATAGGAAGCGGTGCTTGCCAGCAAACGAGGTAGTCACATAGGGAAAGCAGGTCTCTGTTTAGAGGGACTGTTGAATAAAACATAATTCCTTGAACAACAGGAAGTTGTCCTCGAGAAATACACTCATTTGCAAATCAAATTGGTTTCACGAGAGAGCGGCCGGGAAAACTTTGTTCAGACTGGTGAAAACCTTCTTTTTAGTAGGTCGGCCGGTTTATATCCCTTAAATGGGAGGCTTTTACCGGGAGGAGGTTTTAGCGAGGCTTTAGAGATACACTCTTTTGCAAAGAAGTTTGGTTTTGCGGCAGCCTCACCTGGAACCCTTTTGGATCTCTCGTTTGTGATGTGTCCTGGCAACTGAATGTGCTGTACCATGCCACCTCATGTTTCGGTCACTGCAATATTTGGAATACCGCGACACGTGTATATTCGTAATACACTACCCATAAGGTTACTGAAAATTCTTCTAAAGCCCACAACCGGTTTCTCCCTTCTTGGGGCTCATCAGGTGGGCGCAGTCCCCGAGTTTCCCTTAACCTTATGTTCTACTTGAAATTGCACAGAATTAGCAAACATACATTCATTTGCAAACTAATTTGGTTTTTCAAGAGACTCACCTGGAACCCAGCTGAATCTCTCGTTTGTGATGTTCTCGGGAGTAGTAGTACATTACGAATATACATGTATCGCCATATATCGAATATAGTAGCGACTGAAACACGTGACGGCCTGGTGCAACATATTCAGTTGCTGGAAAACGAGAGATTCAGCTGAGTTTCAGGTGAGTCTTTCGCAAAACCGCATTTGTCTACGAATGAGTGTGTTTCGCTAAACCCCTTAACTCTTCTACAATGGGAATTCCCATTTCAAGCTAAACCTTGAAAGCACAACGTCTTTGCCCCCGTACGTTTTGCAAAAGGGGTTCACCACTATGCTGAGTTCGCCAACCCATATTTTTCCTGGTGCGTGAAAAACCAACAACAGATAAATAAGCTTCACTTTCCCTCTGCAGTTACTCGATGGCACTCAAATTGTTCCACCGAACACTAAGAAATGAAGTCACTCGGCCGGGAACTTGTCAACCGAGAAATTATTGTCAATTCTGGCCAAACCCCATTGCCGAATGGAACGGCAACCGTAGCGATATCTGATTGTCACTTCCACAAATCGCCAATCTTCCTTGTAACCCTGGCTACTAATGGAAACAGAGTTGTGGGTGGCAGTTCTTACCGTGTATTGTTCTAGTGGGGGAAAAAACTAGCAAGGCAAAACGAATGAATTGCTTGAATGGCTGAGTAGGATGGAGGTGAACTCCATTGGAATTATGGCGCATGTCACTTGGAAAGCTGTTGCTTAGTGATCGAACGATGCCGAAAATATTTTTCGAGCTTTCACTCAGAAGGCACTGCCAATCTTGCAGAATCGGTATATTTATTTCTATTTTCCGCGCAACTAACTAAAGACCTTATTTAGAAATGCTGCTATTTTGTCCCGCAATCAGTCCAGAGGCTGAAATGAAGCACAATAAATAACCGGGTCGTAAGCCGTCTTCTTGTGGATGAGGATGATTTCGTACAAACGGACTGATTTTCTGGAGTCGTTTTACAGTACAATAGGTTCAGTCTCTCAAATACATTTATGTTGAATCATGAAGCAATGAACGGAAGTCACCAAGGTCAGAAGTATACTCGGTTTGGGCATTGAGACGTCTCAAAACTTATCTCATCGTGGAACAAACCTTGGTGCCCTCGTTAAGTGTAATTTCTTATGGAGTATCTGTATTAAGCACTACTTAGAAGGAAAGAAATGCATTGTGTGGTTTCCTACGTGCAATCTCCGAAGATTTTCAAAGCGAATAAAACGAAGAACACTTGAAACGACGGCTCAACTTCTGTAGGAACACAAGGCCGCATGGTCACTGAAACTGATCATTCTCTGGACTACCGTGTCACCCCACTTTCATTATCCTGAGAGAGAAAGAAAAATCTTGAGTTTCTGTTAGGAATGTCTTAGTTTTCCATTGAATCCCCCTCTACTAGCAAGTTTAAACACGAAACGGGTATTCTCCCATAATTATTTGCTTCACTAATTGATAAGTAAGCATCATTAGCTAATGAGGCTAACGAACCCCTGTTCCCCGGGAACCAGTGAGTAGCGGAACAGGAGCGAACTAAAAAGTGGGGTGATATTCAGGAACCTAATTAGACCTCATGTCGTCGACGGACCCTTTTACCGTGACCTTTCTGACTTTGTTCACAGAAAACAAGGGATCGGGTATTTAATTGGACGTCTGATTATTGAGAAAAAACAACAGAACTAATGTTTCACAATGGAGATGATGATCATCATCTGAAGGTATTAGAAATCTCCGAGAATTTCCGATAGGATCTTTCTGCGTTTGAATGGTTTTATCTTTACTAGTATGTTCGCCATTTCTTGACATGTTCGCTTAGCTACTACGCGTTTCAACTCTTATTTTTTGTAACAGGCAATGTCCAGTTATCAACTAATCCGGTCCAACTCGGGAAAGTGATTCGAAAACCCAGCCACAAAGAGTCGGTTGAGCCGAATTTCTTTCAACCATGAGTGACTTGTCATCACAATTGTACCTTGGTTTCCTTCGTTGTACTCTGAAAAGACTACTGTCAGTGGTCTGAATGTTGAAACGTTCCGACCATAACTCACTGTGGAACTGCTCATTTGCAAACTACCTTAGTTAGCGAGGAGCCTAACTGAAGCTATCATATATTTCACCTCATAAAGTTGCTGAGAACGCGTCGACTGACGAAAACTGGTTTGGCCCTGTTATAGATGTGATGTACTACTAATAAGGTTGCTGAAAACTATTCGACAGCCCATGACCGGTTTCGGCCTCGTTGAGGCTCGTCAGGTAGGCGCTGTCCCCCAGCTCCCGTCAAACCCACGTTTTGCTTGAATCCACATTTCACAGATTTCGATAGACACACTCTGTTTCTTAAGAGAAGTATAAGAAAGATTCAGCTAGGTCCAGGGTGATACGCCTGTCTAAACCGAATTGATGGCTTTGCCTTTTTGGAGTAGGCGTGGCTCCAGAACCTTTGCCAACTATTTGTACCGCATGACATGAAATCCTACGCAACTTTGTTCATCGTCACACCACTCTCGTTTGAACGGCCGTCCTCCCGTTCTGGCGCTATTTTTCCTGTGAGTCCACACCAAAGGGAAGCACTGGACTCGAGTTTCGCTCTTCTTAGAGCTCATCCAATGACCGCACCGGGATTTGAACCCCGGACATTAGACATGAGAAGCGAGTGTTCAACCAGTCAAGTATCGGTCAGCCAATCCCTCTGAAGAAATTGGGTCGTTCTTTTGGTCGAATACTTGTGGTGATCTTGGCTGCCATGCGACCACGCGATTCTTGGATCAATTCCGGCTTTTGTTTCAACCCACTACATGATTTCAGTTGTTGTCAGATATCTCACATTTAATGCGTTATAATGATAGCATTTTCAATCGGTTCGTTGCAGTTGGACCTTCATGATCCTAGCTTATGACAAAGCATCTACGTTACTGTTAGTTTATGTCCTTGAGACATATGAAATTGAAATTATGTAGAATGCTACGAGGTAATCCACTTGAGTTTAGTCTGGCTTTTGGCGCTGGGGTTTCAGGAGATCCATCCTTCAAGGCGAGATCAACTTAACTGTTCTCTGGGGTTTGGCACTTTGGTTAACTCTCTTCCGCCAGGAGTTTGGAACTTGTGTTTCAAAACTTCATACAAAGTTTATTTTTAAAGTTCTGTCCAAGGCTCATTCAAGGCTCTTTCAGCAAAGTGGTACAGCACGGTGAGGATATCGGTCTTACCGAGAGCGTTACTCATTCCAATCCTTCTTAGAAGGAAGGTTCCAATGTTCCATAGCCCATAAGTTACACGCAAGTTACACTTTTCGTCCATTGATGCAATTGTACGTCTAGTTTGTGACTCAGCGGGGTCCACCTGCCGCTAGCTGTAAGATATTCGAAATTATCAAAGCTTACTGCCAAGCCGTTCATCGGCCTGACTATCGTATGGAACAGCAGGCTGGATCGATTGTTATAAACTGCCACAGTGAACTCAGTATGTTTGATGTACCAGCCCCAGTTCGCATATCTGTAACATTCAGTCACCAACTGTTCATCTTTATTGGGGCAGCTATAAGCTGGGCTCTCTCTAACATCAGCCTTGAAGTTCAATTCACCGCTTCTCTAAGTACGATTGGGTTTTGTATGTCTTGAAACATTGACGTCAGTTTTAGCTTGGCAAAGACGAGGGGTGTTTGAAACACGTTGATCCATTATCTAGTTGTTCACTGTGCAACTACGGTGGGTTTGATCAAGGTACACATTTTTTTCGGTCCTAACACGCTTTTGTTACTGGGACCCGAAAGATTGGTTTTGACAGCACATATGGAACAATAATAACACTATTAAAAGATAGTACGCCTTGGATGTTTTTTTCACCCAACATTTCACTGGTGGTACCCTCAGGAAACCACATTTTATGACCGAAAATAACCTCAGGTATTACTCAGTAATTGGATGAGTTTAAAAGACAAATTCATGGCATCAGTTTGATTCTTCGCGAGCTTTCAGAATCAATCCCATTTGCTTGGATGACTTTGCAGCCCTGTAGACTTACGTTCAACACGGTCAAACCGAGCAGATGGGAACGGTCCCCATGAATTGCTTACACACCATACCACCCGTGAAAGGAAGGCACTTCTCTGCAGTTGTCCATTAGAAAAAGACAGCTAAACGGTTACAGACTATTGGATAGGAAAGTAAGACGCTCATATCCAACTTATTTATAAAAAAAACTGAATATCCGTCTTCTTCTTGAACGCGTCTTTTCGCCCTTTCCTGGATACTGATTGACTGACACGCAATTGTAAGTGAATGCTGCAAAGCAGTTCCACAAATTCCGTAATAAATCTCACCTGTCATTAGATCAAGTCGGAGTTACGAGAAAACCACATACTACTCACACACCTCATCAGTAGTATCCAGCATCACATTCGTAAGGTTGGCATTCGGCAGACCTGTGTCATGAACCTGGTCATTCGAGTCGCACTCCAATACTCTGTTTGCTTTTTGTCCGAAGTTCGAATGTTAACAGTAGTAAAATGAACCGGCCACTCAAATCCGGTTTAAAACGGTAAATGTGTGATGGTTCTTGTGTCATAGGAACCGCACCCTTCGTTCTCACTCTTGTTTCGGTTAGAACTTGAGATGACTCAGTGGTTAATTTGCAAAACTACCGCCCCAAAGGTCTATGGTTCGAACCCAAACGCAGCTGCTTCTGCATAGGCCTGGACAACCCGGCTGTATTTCAGTTCTCCTTCTTCATTCGAACTGTGCTACATCTGTACTTTTAAAGTACCCTGCGACAGAACGTTTGTTTTTGTTTGCTTCATGCTGCTGGGTCAAAACGTTAATTAGGCCTTTGAATCCATTCCTGTTTGGACATATATTTTGATTCCGACTGATCCATTACTATGCGCTTGTAATGAGGACGGGGAAGGTGAAATTCCAACATGCAACAAGACCAGATTGGTGTTGCTACGATGAGCTGCCGTAAGCTGTAAGCTGTAAACTTGCTTACAGATTTTCGTAAGCTAATAGGACTTGGCGGGAAAATCGTTATAGGCCGGGTTATCAAGAAGGATTTAAGAAAAACAACTTGAAGCAATTTTCAGTCATTGATGGGAACACATAGACCAAGCGAATATTCAAGTAAGATATCCATAATTCATCTAAATGGTCCGCCATTTGGCATTTCGTGAGCACGCATATAATGGCTGTATTGACAGTCAGGCAAACGATTTCCCCAAACCTCTTACTATTTGCCACAGTACAGTGACAGAACAGGTGTTCTCTGAAGGAAATGAGATAGTTTGAAAGAGACGCTCTTGAGTTGTAATTGATCAAAGCTTGGCGACATTATTGCTAAAGTGATGTCAACAAATACACTCATTTCCAAATCAATTTGGTTCTGACGGGAGACTCAAATGAATCTCTCGTTTTGAGATTCTTTGACTGAATGCGCTGCACAAAGGCAGCCTCGTGTTTCAGTTGGCACGATATTCGACATATCTCAGTACATTTGCCTAAAGCAGTCCACACCCAAGTTTGCCGAAAAGTGTTCGACAGCCCACGACCGGTTCCGCCATTCTTGGGCCTCATCAGTAAGCGCAGCCCCCGAGTTTCCGTCAAACTTATGTTCTAATTGATTTGCAAATGGGTGTATTTTTCGAAATCGGTCCGATTTGGGTTCAAGTAGAACATAAGGTTGATGGAAACTCGGGGACTGCGCCTACCTGATGATCCCCAAGAATGGCGAAACCGGTCGTGGGCTGTCGAAGAGTTTTTAGCAACCTTGTGAGTAGTTTGCTTTACGAAAATATACTGCGACATCTCGAATATCGTACCAACTGAAACATGAGTCAGCCTTTATGAAGCACATTCAGTTGAAGAATTCATAAACGAGAAATTCATTTGAGCCTCCCACGAAAACCAAACTGATTTGCGAATGAGTGTATTTGCCGAAACCCTTGTTTTACTTACACATCAAACACTACCTTTCACCTCTAAGGATGTCAAATAGTACATCATGCATGAACCTGGTTGTTGGCCCCATCCGTGATCAGTTTCATGAGTTCTCGTTGTTGTTGTTTATCAAAAATAAATTGTCTGGTTGATTTCATCATCCGACTCAACCCTGTTGCCTGATGACTGACAACTACATCTGAAAGGGATCCCATTCGACCTGGGAAACGTGCGACATGCATATCTGACAACGAAGTTTCATTCTGGCACTCCTGGAACGGGATTCGCTGAATGGTTAACTTTTCACAGTCACAATAATCAGCGTGCTTTTTCGTGAAACAACCGGTGATGCATGCCATGTGTACTTGACTCGATGCCCACGCAACACTTCGTACGATCTCATTCCTCCCTCGATGATCTAGTCAACGCAGTGTGATGAGATCAAGTTATTCCATGTTTTCCCTAACAGATTCAGAGCATAGCCTCCTGATTTTGCATGAAACATACATTCTTAAATAACCAGTTTCGGTGAAATTACTTCGTCATCAGTCACAATCCTCCACAAATAAGCCAGTTCTCACAATTCCCTCTTGTGTTTTTAAGGAGGTTAAACTGAAGCCGAAAACGCTTTGACAACTGGTGGCCGGTTTTGCTCATCATATCGGCACAGTCTGCGAGTCCCCATCAACAATGTGTTCTACTTGACTATCAAATTTTGCGCAATTCGCCCAACGCGACCATCTACACACTAATTTGGTTTTGGCGGGAGACCAAAGCAGCCGAAGCTGTCGTTTATGAGGCTCTCCAACTGAATGTGCTGCACAAAGGTTACTTCATGTTTCAGTTTGCACGGAATTCGGGTGATTGCTAGAACACACTACTCATAAGGTTGCCGAAAAACCTTGGACAATCAACCTCTCGTCCTAACCAACAGTCTCAGGAGACAACAAACAGGTAAACCCATAATCGACGACTTCCATACTTTCCCCCATTTTGAGCCCCCTTCGTCAGCCCAGGAATTGATGAAGACCATGTGTTCAAATCCAGCTATTCACTGAGAATAAAACTGAATCCGTTTACTACAATGATCAGTTGTTTGTAATAGAAAGAACATCCATTCAGCTCATTAAATTCGGGAAGAAACATTCATGACTCATACTCTTCACTAATTTTTGAATGGTGGAAACGCCGGAAAGTCGTCTATAACTCTATCTAACTACCCGTCTCAATCTCCATCTACCTATCTATCTATCTATCTATCTATCTATCTATCTATCTATCTATCTATCTATCTATCTATCTATCTATCTATCTATCTATCTATCTATCTATCTATCTATCTATCTATCTATCTATCTATCTATCTATCTATCTATCTATCTATCTATCTATCTATCTATCTATCTATCTATCTATCTATCTATCTATCTATCTATCTATCTATCTATCTATCTATCTATCTATCTATCTATCTATCTATCTATCTATCTATCTATCTATCTATCTATCTATCTATCTATCTATCTATCTATCTATCTATCTATCTATCTATCTATCTATCTATCTATCTGTCTATCTACCTGTCTATCTATCCAACTGAAGTTTCAATTACCGTTTCAAAGAAGATTCCCGTGAAATCAGGGAATCGGGGGTCAAAACCGGCTGGCGCTTGTCCGCTTGACTTATTCAGCGCATACCTGAAGATCCCCGAAATGAGCGAAACCGGTTGTAGACTTTTAAAGGATTTTCGCCAGTCTAATGAGCAGTATGTCTAGTTGGGTAAAGTAATACTCCGTTCAACAATGGATATAGATGAACGGAACCAGTACAGATCAGAAAGGACCAGTCCATCAAAGTGGGGCGGTTCTTCTTATAAACGTAACCTCCAATGAACACGTTGCACACCTTGGTGCGTCTGTATCTAACCAGAACGAAATTCTTAGATTGGAGCCCGTGCTTTTGATTGCAGTGGGCCATTCTTTCCTTGACGGTGGCTAAAGCATTTACGGATGGTTCCTAACAGTGTTGTGGAAACGTAGAAGCATAGAATACTAAATCCTTCCCACTACTTACTCAATCACAGTAGCATGCTCGAGAGGAAAAGCGTTAGCTTTGGCTGAAACTTCCTCTGAGTTGACTGGGTAGGATATCAATACAACCTCGATAGAGGTAACAAGTTTGGATATGATTGTGAGAGGATTATGGTACATTTTACATTGTGAGATTGGTAACATGTTCATCTAGAATTCATGACTGTGGCATTTGGATTCTTCGTGGAAGAGTTTGTCTATGAAGACAGCTAAAAAATTATTACCTTGGGGATCAGCAGATTCCGCAGGGGTTCCAATTTTCGGAACACAGTTTGAAGAATTCCAGTGCTGACATTCTACGAAGAAATGACTGATTACGACAAATACACTTAGTTGCACATCAACTGAGTTTTCATTGTAGACTCGATCGAATGTGCTGCACAAAGGCCACCTCATGTTTCGGTTGGCACTATTTTCGAGATATCGCAGTATATTTTCATAAAGGAAACTACTCACAAGGTTGCTGAAAACTCATCGACAGCCCACGACCGGTTTCGCCCTTCATGGAGCTCCTCAGGTGGGTGCGATTCCGGAGTAGTTTCCATCAACCTGTCGCACTATTTGATGACGCTCCCAGGTAAACCTTGATTTGGCTTTGTTTGCTTGGTAGTTAGATTTCGTCCCCTGGTGGAGTCAGTCGATGCTAAAAAGCCGAGGGGCACTGTGCAGCTAGTTTTCTGTTGTTAGGAATCACCAGCAGTGTGCATCACACTAATCTCCGGGGCGACAAGGAGCATCATACCCCACCGGATGATGGGTTCAGGTTTGCAGTTTGGGTTAAAGGTGTCAAGGTTTCGAAATGAAACGGCAGTGTATCGAAGACGCACGCACTCAACAGCTCACTGAAGTTGTCACCTCGTATGTTGACGAAACCTGTGTAGGTCATCGAAGACCGAAGCATTTCGAAAGCTACGACTGCTGCGTTCGCTACTCAAATGGCCCCTCAAGCTACCAAATTATTACCAGATCCGATCATCTGATTTCGAACATACCATTCGGATAACTTTGAAGTCTTTAAAGACAAGCTAAATGTTCCTGTAGCACAAACTGATTGCGTCCATCTTCATTTGTTTTCGCAGTTTACTGTAATTTGAAGACATTCATAAACAATGGTCGGACACTCCCTTGTCGATCTCGGCTGAACAAGAATGATTTAGCTGCACCTAGTAAACGGGCAAGTCTAAACAGTGCCCAAATGACACATGTACACGAGTTAGACAAGCTTGTCAACCGAACTAATTCATCGAAGGAATGATCGTCAACTGACTGGAAATGTGTCTATGAACACCTGTGATTTACCGTCAAACTACATATCGCGACAACATTTCCTGTCGTTTACCTTGTCATTGAAGATCACTGAGGGGAGAATGGTTTATTAGGTTGGATTTTATTCTCCTCTGGAAATGTTCCGGGAGCAGTGTTCAACAGTTTCAAAAGGTTGGGTTAGTCAGATTAGTTTTGAAGCGTTGCTGCTACAAACCGGTGAAAATTAATCGCATGTATTTACTTAATATGAGAAGCAACATGTGCGTCGAACGCATTCAACCATCATTCACAAAAGTCCGAAAGTAGCAACAGCTGATTCGCCAAACTGTCACGTGACCGGCTCCATCCACGTCTATTCGATAGTCTTGGGTTAAAGGCAAATGCACAAAAGTGGCTGAAGAAATCTTTCAATGGATTCTCTTGAAGATGCTCCCTCTCGGTCCCGGGTGGCACTTTGTAGATGTAATGAACACTGAAGCAGATATGCCACCGAACCCAACAAATTAGCACAGTCAGAAAAAAGTGACCATGGTTATTGGTGTGAAGATATTGAATTACTCCATATAGTTGGTCGCACGTCGACACGATTACTGTACAGAGTACACCCCAGATCCAGAAGGTCTTTCATACAGAGGGATCCATTTTAATAAACCTGGCCAAATCCTAAGCCCATGGCTCTTTAACTTTCAGGCTCTCAAGGACATGATGATACGGCCCCAAATGAGTTTAAGTGATCAGAGGCAAACTAAGAAGAATGCTTCTGGGAAGTGCGCATCCCAGTAATTAAGGAAGGAAGGAATGTACGTGTCTTCGCGTCACATCAGAATGGAAACCATGATTAGGACAGCCTGAGAAAAGGCTGATTTGCCAGCCGTTGGTTTGGACACCAATCACCGCAACCGAACCAGCTTGTGAAGGAAGAAGTCAGGTATTTCGTCCAGAATACACAGCTGAACTGGGGCCTGTTGTCAACATCATAGCTGTAGACAACGCTCGAGCTACTTTGATCCCTTGTTTTGTTGGTAACACGAATGTTGGAATTTGGCAACGGAGATTTTGTCCTACAGGTTAAATAATTCAATGCCGAAAAGTCGAGAGAAACACTGGGCAGCTGTTTCACTTCCTTTGGGAATCACTATCAGCAGAGAATATCTCAAGCATCTCTAGCTCAAACGTCCCAGATAGTTTCAAAAAGTCTCCTTTTATAAAAATCTCTGGTGGTGGGCTAGCATAAACAGTTTTGTGTCAAAAGATCGATTGAATACACTATTTGAGATCCTTTGGTGTGTCCGCATTCTCACGAAGCCATGAGCGACGTCAGTCGACTGCAGCAAGCCCAGTATTGCGTGGCGCGAGCGATGACGAGGGTTTCCTGGATCTCATGGAAGCTGCGCTGCCGGACACTGCTCGATGGTCTGG